GTGTTGAAAAGAAAATATTCGGGTAAAATTCAAATGACAAACCTGAGTGGCCTTATGAGGCCTGTAGACCTCCATCTTCCTGTAGAGTCCATAGTTCAACAGAAGATTGTGCGTCATACGCATCCGGTGGGGCTTCATGGGGTGGCCCTGTACGTAAAAATGATCAATTATAAATATTTCCAAATTTAAATTTTTTCTGGGCTTCATTGATTATAACCGTTCAAAAGTTTTGACTTAACGATATTCAGACTGAGATATTTTTAAGATTGACTGAAACTAAAGACAATCTGAACTGGATCATAATAATTCTCGGTTTAAGTCTCGAGGTTTAAAATTTCACCTTTTCGCATTTTGGTAAATCATTTTTTCGTGAAGAAGTGAAAAAAGTACCTGTCCATAGTAATAGTTTCCTATATCTGAATCGTAGTAGTAACAAACTTTACTTTTGTTGTGCTGTTGCATTTTTGGTCTAAAAACAAAAGTATAAGTCAAAAGAAAACAAAAACATATTTGTTTTAACTATTTATAAATCCGTTAAAAAAAAGAAAAATTGCTGACAATCTTTCAACTATATATTATTCACACAAATTAATTATTTAGTTGGGATAAACGGCAATTATTACGAAAAAACAGTGGAGTCCGCTATTCCTCTCCAAAACCGGCGGGCTTTGAATCCTAGTAGTTGGGAGCATTCGGAACACCACACAAAGCAGGTAGAGCCGGGCCAAGCCAAGCGGTTCCATATATTTCAGGGGAAGTAATTACTTCAAATAAAAACTATTTCGCGTTTTACATTAAAAAATATTATTTCAAGAATTATTTAAAATTAAATAATTTTAAAATGCATTATCCCTGTTTATCAAAACATTTTTTATTTTACAAAATGTCGTCGTTTTAATAAAAGACGGCATCGAAATGGGTGCTATTAAGCTTGAAATATTGACTATTTGAACTATTGGTCGTTTGAATTATTTGCTCATTTGAATTATTAAAAAAATATTTCAATTTTTGAGCCGAATAATGTATTAAATTCGAGTAAAAAAATATAGTTCAAATGAGCAAAAAAATTTAGTAGAAATGAGCAAAAAATAATTGAAATGAGCAATTTTTTACAGGGATCTCATAAATATTATGTGTCACATTAATAATTATTGGTCATATGTGGCTGCAGCGCCCGCGGCTCAAAATAAGCCTGTCCTAGTCGTCCTGCCGCGCGAGCGCTCGGCCCCCTTTACCTGTCCTCCGTGCAGCACCCGGCCCCCTATCCTGTCAAGCCGCAGCGCTCGGCTCAGAAAGTGTCTTAATCTAACTTTTAAATACAAAATAAATATTTTTGTTGAAAATATAGTTGAAATTCAAGGCATGTACAAAATAGATAGAAGGGGGGGGGGAGGGTCCAAAAAACATTGGACCCATTACATGTTCAAATTTGATCAAAAAATAGTTTAAATGAGTAAAAAAGAAATTGTTCAAATGAGGCAAAAATAGTTCAATTGAGCCAAATAATTGCAAATAAGCATTAACAATCATAGTTCAAATGATTGCTAAAAAATAGTTGCTCTTTCTTTGAACCATCTTTTTGATTCATTTGAAAATATTTTTTTTGCTTATTCGAACTATTTTTTTGCAATTAATTGAACTATATTGTATTGATCATTTGAACTATATTTTGGTTCATTTCAATTATATTTTTTGCTCATTTAAAAGATATGTTTTGGTTATAAATTAATTTGAACTTATAATTGTATAATTTGCTAATTGCTTCATTTGAACAATTCTTTTGGTCATTTGAATTATTTTTATGTCCATATGTGAAATATTTTTTGATCATGTAAACTACTTTATGATGATTGTTTGACCTAAATATTTTTTTCATGGAACATAAAAATTTTAATTTGAATCTAGTTCAAAAGAGTAAATAATGTGTGGTTTTGAACTGTAGGAAATGACGTCATTACCAGTAGTAAGAATGAACAATAGTTCAAATGGTCAATAGTTCAAATGATCAATAGTTCAAACGGCAGTAGTTCATGCGGATCCACCAAGAAATGTGATAACCCTCGTAAAAGGAAATATGGTAAAAACACTGAATCCCCTGATATACAAGTTCTCCAATCACCTTGAAATTTGGTCTAAACCAAGAATACAGGGAAACTAAACCCTAAAATACATGGAAACTAATCCCTAGAATACAGGGAAATATAACCCTAGAATACAAGGAAACTAAACCCTAGAATACAGGGAAACTAAACCCTAGAATATATGGAAACTAAACCCTAGAATACAAGGAAACGAATCCCTATAAATACATGGAAACTAAACCCTAGAATACAGGATAACTAAACCCTAGAATACAGGGAAACTGATCCCTAGAATACAGGAAAACTGAACCCTAGAATACGGGGAAACTAAACCCTAGAATACATGGAAACTAAACCCTATAATACAGGGAAACTAATCCCTAGAATACATGGAAACTAAACCCTAGAATAGAAGGAAACTAAACTCTAGAATACATGGAAACTAAACCCTAGAATACAGGAAAACTAAACCCTAGAATACAAGGAAACTAATTTCTAGAATACAGGGAAACTAATTTCTAGAATACAAGGAAACTAATTTCTAGAATACAGGGAATTTAATTTCTAGAATACAAAGAAAATAATTTCTAGAATACAGGGAAACTAAACCCTAGAATACATAAAATCTAAACCCTATATAGTAGAGGGAAACTAAACCCTAGAAAACAAGGAAACTANAAACCCTATAGAATACAGGGGAAATTAAACCCTATAGAATACAGGGAAAATTAAACCCTATAGAATACAGGGAAACTAAATCTATAACGCATACAAGGAATTACTAGACCATGGAATAACGGAAAAATAATTTACTAAAATACTGGGAAACGAACCCCCGGAAAACAAGAATACTAACCTCTAGAATCAAGGGAAACTAACCTCTAGAATACAGGGAAACTAACCTCTAGAATACAGGGAAACTAAACACTAGAATAAAAGGAAACTATAGATCCCTGGAGGACAGGGCAACATGTAATTCCTAGGACACAGGGAAACCAATCCTTAGAATACAATAAACTAGAACCTCGAGAACAGGAAAACTAAACCCCAAAATATAAAGAAAATCAACACAAGAATGTAATAAATACCGTGGCAGATCCCATAGTTTCACCTTGAATTATATTGTACATTGTCTGTAAATCTAAATGCTCGTATCAGAAACTACGCAAATCTTGTGTTGAGATTAACATAAACTAGCTACATCTGTAAAATAATTATGTCAAACCTGTATTGTGATTAGCTTAACTACGTTCGTATATAACAACGAAAAACTTTTTATTAAGTCAATTAAACTTAATATGTCACCAAGAACCCAAAATAAGTTGGTATTAGAATCCGCTTTGATTACTGTGTGAGAGTAATTACTTCTTTGTAAGGGAACAAGATACGTCCTGCATCACTCTCTTGAAATATAGAACTAGATTGGGAATCAATACAGATAAAGTAATAGTTTTGATTGGAAAACTCGATAGAACCACGGGAATGTTCTTACCTTTGTATAAGAATTCCCAAATTAAAATTAAAGGAATGTTCTTAGTTTGGTCTTAAAACTCGATAGAACCACGGGAATGTTCTTACCTTTGTATAAGAATTCCCAAATTAAAATTAAAGGGGTTCATGAGATATGATCGCACAAACAAACAAACAAACAGATAGCCCTACTTTATATGTAAAGATAAAATATGCAACACTTGTCAGTCATATTGTGAGAAGCTAATTATTAGAACAAAAATAGTATTTCACCCTTATACTATTTTTAAACAAAGGAATTAGAAACATCTTCGATTGTTTAAGACCGAAGTTGAAAATAGCACTATAAACCATTAAATTTTCATGTCTTTTTTGTATCTCAAAAGATAATATGATTTCAAATTGAAACCTGAACAAAATTATCAATAGCCAAGTTAGAAAAGATTGATCTTAAATCCAATATTTCTTGGGACTCACTGTGCAGTAGAATAGAACACATTTATTTTTGCATTTTTTTAAAGCAAATAAACTAAATCGATATATAAATTTGGCTTGTCTGTCTGTCTGTCTGTTTGTTTGTTTGTATCCAATAAACGTCAAAATGGCTGAACAGATCGGGCCCAAATTTTTGTGGGACATCACGTGACCACAGGGAAGGTTTATGAATGATAAAAATTAAAAAAATGTGTTTTAAAGGTTTTTAACTTTGTAAAGAAATTTAAATTCTTGAAAATCCGAGAATTTTTTTTTAAATCCGCAAAATTTTTTTCTTCTTTGTTTTTAAACGTAAACAAAAAGAAAATGTTCACAATTTAAATAGAAGATGGGTGCGAAGCGCCCTAAAAGCCTAGTATTAAGTATTAACCTAAAAAATAAAGAAAACTTATTGTGATGCCGGGGGATTTAAAGAGACGAACCAACATTGGAGAGAGAATATCTTTTCCTTCCTGTTATTTATTTGCAGTATCAATGATACTAAAAAATATATGTACGTAAAAAATAACTAACAAAAAAATAGCAGAAAAGGGTTTTCTAAGTTTTTACTTTTTTAGATGGTATAATCCTTTAAATTTTTCACTGAACTTATACAACTCCTAATGAGGAAATGGAACACTAAATTTATAATTGTCTTTGTCCATTCGTGTCAATCCTCATTATTTTTTCTTATTCTATTTAAGTATCTTGCTTAATATCAGGGTAACAGTATTGTTAAACAAACTTAAATAAGGAACTGAGTTTTTGTCACAAACTCAAATTGTCTAATCCCTATATCTTTACAATCTGATTATGTAAACCTTTGATATTTCAAACTTAGATTATTTGGTGTAATAGAATTCATAGTTTGAAATATCAAAGGTCTACGACATTGGGTAGCAAAGACATAGAGATTAGAAAAGTAGAGTTTGTGACAAAAACTCAGTTCCTTTACCTAGCATTGATAAACTCAGGTTATTTTACGACATTTTGGTTTTAAAACTGTCTGAAAATATTAAACTTAGAAAACTTAAATTTGTAACAGCTTCAGCAAATACAATTATGAATTAAAACATTCTGGAGATTCTGAACGTTTGCAGTAATATCCAGGACTGTTATAAATATTTACAATGGATCAAACAAATTTTTAACCAATGGCAAATATGTTGAACCAAAACTGCAAACATTCTGGAAGCCTAAAAATGGTTTTTGTCAAATAGGTAAACGCGAAAATTCCTTTTCTAAGAATTCTAAGAATGAGGAAGATTGGGGAAAAGAAATGAACAAAGGAATAAAAGAAAGAGCGAATAAAGCAAGGATAAAAGCATAGGAAGGAAGGAACGTGAAGGAAGTAAGAGAGGAAGGAAGAATTGGATTGAAAAATTAAGGAATTAAAGAAGAAATAACAGAGAAAATAGAGAAGAAAGAGCAGAAGAAATAAGGAAGAATAAACAGAAGAAATAAGGAAGAGAGAAAAGAAGAAATAAGGAAGAGAGAAAAGAAGAAAAAATGAAGAAAGAAGAGAAGAAACAAGAAAGAATGAACAGATGAAATAAGGAAGAAAGAACAAAAGAAATAAGGAAGAAAGAGAAGAGCAAATAAGGAAAAAAGAAGAGAAAAAATAAGGAGAAAAAGAGAAAAAAACAAGGAGAAAAAAGAGAAAAAACGAGGAAGAAATAACAGCAAAAACAAGGAATAAAGAACATAAGAAATAAGGAAAAAAGAGAAGAACAAAGAAGGAAGAAAGAGCAGAAGAATTAAGTAAGAAAGAGAAGAAGAATTAAGGAAGAAAGAACTAAGAAATATGGAAGAAAAAAGTAGAAAAAATAAGGAAGAAAGAGCATAAGAAACAAGGAAGAAAGAGCAGAGTAAATATTCGGAAAGAACAGGAAGAAATAAGGAAGAAAGAACAGAAGAAATAATGAAAAAAGAACAGAATAAATAAGGAAGAAAGAGAAGAGATAAGGAAGAAAGAACAGAAAAAAATAAGGAGAAAGAAGAGAAAAAAACAGGAAGAAAGAAGAGAAAAACAAGGAAGAACGAACAGAAGAAATAATGAAGAAGAAATAAAGAAGAATAAACTAAAGAAATAAGAAAGAACGATTAGAAGAAATAAGGACGGAAGAAGTGAAGAAATAAGGAAGAAGGAACAGAAGAAATAAGGAAGTAAGAGCATAAGAAATAAGAAAGAAAGAATAGAAGAATTAATGAAGAAAGAGCATAACAAATATGGAAGAAAAAACAGAAGAAATAAGGAACAAAGAGCATAAGAAATATGGAAGGAAAAACAGAAGAAATAAGGAAGAAAAAACAGAAGAAAAAAGGACGAAAGAAGAGAAGAAATAAGGAAGAAATAACAGAAGAAATGAGGAAGAAAGAGCAGAGGCAATGGGGAAAAAAGAAGTGAAGAATTAAGGAAGAAAGAAGAAAAAAGAGAAAGAACAGAAGAAATATAAGGAAGACAAAACAGAGTAAATAGGGAAAGACCCTGAAGAAGGGATGAAGGACGATAGAAAAATAGGAAAAAGATGGAAGAAAAAGGGTCAGAAACTGTTAATATAAAATGACAATTTGATAGAATTGGGCACGTACGTTAAACAAATTTTTATTACTAACAAAGGTACACCTTTCAATCAAGGGCGTATACAGGTGGGGGGGGGGGGTAAGGGGGCAGTGCCCCGTAGAACTCAGAGCTATCGAACTTTTCATATCTTATCCTGAAGAGTGAAGACTGAAGAACAGGACAAAAGTGGTTTGCTGTTTATAAGTTAGAGGGGAATCCCCCCCACCACAAAAATATACAATACATATTATTGCAATGCTGTAACATAATTTCCCTTTTAAGTTTACAGAGTTTTATTTGAAGGAGAGATAAAGTTGTACTTATAGTAAGCAATTGCAAGGTGATTGGACTTTAAAAATTCGGTGATGGTGAATGGTGATGAACCAAACCTCTGTAGAGTAAAAAAGTAGATGTTAGTTCCACATTTATTGAAAATATATTTCGGTCTCAGTTGACCCTCGTCAGTTCTTGAAATTGTTTCTGTATGTGTACCTTTAAAGTATATATACTTGTGCGACTTTTGCCTGATATCCAAGACGCTAAATGTTCTGAATTTACAGTTCAAACATTGCCCTTCCCCTAAGAGCTCCTAGGGGGGGGGGGCAAAGTGAAGAATTATACAAAGGAAAATTACAATAAAGAATTAATACAAACTTTTAATAACAGACGATTTCGTAAAATGATATCATAACCTATAAAATAAGTATGCCTGATCGTCTAAAAGCAAAATATTTTGAATTTGCAGTTCAAATTTTGCTCCCCCCCCCAGGAACTACTATGGGGGGGGGGAGCAAATTGTTTGCCTTTAATGCACATCAAATGAATGAATACATTACATATATTATAAATGGTTTTGTAGAGAAAAAAATAATAAACTTAACTAATAAATTAAATAAAAGTATGTGTTCCATCAAATGGAGGATGGATGATATGGTTTGAAAATCATTAAGGTTTGTTTAGTTTCACTCCTGTCCTTCAAGCTCTCGTCATCATAGAACTTAGAAGGAAAATACTAAATGATTTATTTCAAATCTTGTTTGGTTAAAATGCAGAAATATGTTTTATTCATCACTCAAAAGTATAGATAATCTATACAATATGCATTATACATATACATATATATATATATATATATAACGTAGTGGAACAATTCCATTTGTAGAAAAGTTGCAATTTTAATTTTTCCTAATATAGATCAAGGTTGACCATTCAGTTAAAAAATTATTTTTGCATCTTATTAATTTAAAATAACTCTTCAAACGATTTAGTCCAATGGTCTTAAACTGGTTTTTAAACGAAGAAGGATCTATACTTAAATCAAAGTTGCAACCTGCCCAGAGCGGCCCTAGGCTATCTCTCTCTGTTCAGTTCTTGATTCTTCAGTCAGTACTCAGTACTCAGTACCTAGTCTTCCTCCTTCAGTCTCTTAATAGTTATTTACCTAAGACCACACAAAGTAGTTTTCTGAGCCAAGTTAAACAAGGGTTCTGTCTCAACTAGTACATGGAGTCATTAAATACGTCACATCATCTCCACTCGTCTTTACTCCTACTCTACGCTATATAAATCATTGATAGGATTGGTTTACGTAGGAATTGGAGAAATATTTCGGCTGGTTCATCTTCCAAAACTTCAACGTTAGAGGTAATTTTAATTGTTTAAATCTTTTTTTTTATATTTTAGTAAGTATACAGTAGTAAAATCTTATGTCTAAATAAGTTTTGATCTGAAAGAACATCAAAGAAACCATGGGCACATAAACCAGGCAAAATATTTGTTGCTATATTTTTTTCCTCAACTGATGGTTTTTTTTTTGCGTGGAAACAACCCATCATTTTATATTCGTATTTTAGAAAACAAATTATCACTTAATATTTGTTTTAGAGAGATTTCAATTTGAACTACAAATACTATTCGCACCTTGTGTAAATTGTACAGTGTACAGCAATCATTACAGTAGAAAAAAGTGTACACAAGAGGACAACTTCTGAACAATATCTGAAACTCAAATTTGTTATTATTTTGATTTTTATTAACCATTGTGGTACATATAGTAGCTTTGTATTTTTCATGTACTGATGCCCGAAACCATAGAAGTTTTCAAAATATGTCTTTAAGTAACACAAAAAAATTCTCATTTTATTCTTGGTTTCTCGCACAAATTTATACGGTAAAAGGCTATTTTTGATAACAAATATTCTTCTGGGGCTTTGAACTTATAATTTGTTTTTTTTTGAACTCCGTTCTAGTTTAAAATAATGTGATGTGTTTGTAAGGATGTACAATAAGACACAAAATTTACGTAGAAATACAGAATACAGGATACAGGATACAGGATATACATATTGGATATTCTTAGGAAAAGGATACAAGAATACAAAGAATAAAATACAGAATACAGATGACATTGATTTTTTTTCTGCATCTGTTTGATTTATACACATATGTTTTACAAAGACCTGTAGAAATGTATAAACTGAAAGAGGTGGAATGCACTAGAATGGAAGTGTATTAATCGACAGAATTGAGGAGAATTTTTGGACCAGAATAGAAGGAACATATATTGACCAGAATAGAAGGAACATATATTGACCAGAATAGGAGGAACATATATTGACCAGAATAGGAGGAACATATATTGACCAGAATAGGAGGAACATATATTGACCAGAATAGGAGGAACATATATTGACCAGAATAGGAGGAACATATATTGACCAGAATAGGAGGAATATATGGACCAGATTAGGAGGAATATTTGGACCAGTATAGGAGGAATATTTGAACCACTAAAGGAGGATTATTTGGAACAGAATAGGCAGAATATCTGGACCAGTATAGGAGGAATGCATGGACAAGAATGGGAGTAATACATGAACTATTTGGACCAGAATGGGAGGAATATTTGCGCCATAAAAGAAGAAATATATGGAACAGAAAAGGAGGAATAAAAGGGCCAGAAAAAGAGAAATATATGGACCAGAAAAGGAGGAATATATGGACCAGAAAAAGAGAAATATATGGACCAGAATAGGAGGAATAAAAGGACCAGAAAAGGAGGAATAAAAGGACCAGAAAAAGAGAAATATATGGACCAGAAAAAGAGAAATATATGGACCAGAAAAGGAGGAATAAAAGGGCCAGAAAAAGAGAAATATATGGACCAGAAAAGGATGAATATATGGACCAGAAAAAGAAAAATATATGGACCAGAATAGGAGGAATAAAAGGACCAGAAAAGGAGGAATATAAGGACCAGAAAAGGAGGAATAAAAGTACCAGAAAAAGAGAAATATATGGACCTGAAAAGGAGGAATAAAAGGACCAGAAAAAGAGAAATATATGGACCAGAAAAGGAGGAATAAAAGGACCAGAAAAGGAGGAATAAAAGGACCAGAAAAGGAAGAATAAAAGGACCAGAAAAGGAGGAATAAAAGGACCAGAAAAGGAGGAATAATAGGACCAGAATAGGAGGAATAAAAGGACCAGAAGAGGAGGAATAAAAGGACCAGAAAAGGAGGAATAAAAGGACCAAAAGAGGAGGAATATGTATGGTAACTTATTTTGAAAAAAAATAAAATTGTATTCCCTCTCTTGTTCCCTTCCTTGTTTAGTTAAGTAGTTAGTTAAGTGCTGGAAACCTTGAAGAGTCGACTACATCTGTATAAGTTCTCTGTTGTCCAAATATCTAAGAAGAAAAGTTTTAAATCTGCTTTACATAAAATATAATACCATTGACAATAAAGAATCTTTTAGTATAGCGTGGTATAGTCGGAATCTTATTTTTACAACAATAAAAAAGCTATGTTTTCTAATGTTATTTAACAAATTCAAAACAAAGGGTGGGGGGGGTTTATTTTTTTTTATTTGCCTTATTGGAGTGAAAAAATTTTAAAAAAGATTTTTTCATCACGATTTTAACAATATATCTCAACAAAGAATCGTCTTTATGGGCTCCGTTCAGTCTAGGTCGCCGAAACTGTGCTATCTCTAGAATATGTAAACAGAATTGAGGTTTGATTGAACTAGATCAAACTGGATTGGTATCTTAAAAATTGACCTGGATTTTACAGACTTATTTAGATTGTTTTTGATTGATTTTTGGACTTAATTTTTTTTTTAAACTGATTTTTGATTTTACTAGATTGATCTGGATTGATCTGGATGGGGGCGAAGAGCAAGCGCGAGTTTTTCCTGACTATTGCGGATGTAATCTGGTCCTCAGTGTTTGTAGCTCCGTTCATTGTACTGTATTGGAGAGGGGTTTGGGACCTTCTAGATGATTTGGTAAACTTTTAACTATTTCCCCTTCCCCAAGGTTAAAAATATAATGCAAGGAAAGTTAATTGCAGTAGAGTATACTCTACAAGGTTAAACAGAATAATATTTCTCTGGTTGAAGTTTATCAAGGTTAAACAGAATATTTCTCTGGTTGAAGTTTATCAAGGATAAAATTATTAGAATAGAAAAATTTATCAAAATTCTGAAGAATGCGCAGTTATCTATCATTTTGCTAATACTTTATTTCTCTTTGATTGTAAATTAAATATGTAAAATACAAAAATAAAACTATTTACTGATTTACGAAAAATAATAACTTTTACAGAAAAAGAGAACTTTAAAATATCTGATTTAAAGATGTTTAAGATTTACCAATTAAATAAAAACCAAAAAATTGCAATAATTTTTTTATCATTTGGATTTTTCAATAAGTTTTCTTTAAGGTGTACCCAGCACACCAACCTGAGACAGGATCAACTGATTCTCCAACCAGAAATCAACTCTCAGGACTGGTTTGCTACCTTGTGGGACTCATAGTCAGAATAATCCTTGATCTCGCCAAATATCACATTGCAGAGTTTCTCGATGAAAAACATCCTGTCGTGAAAGCTCTGGGTGGTTGGATATACACAGGAATATTTGCATTCGCTGGTGTTTCTTTCTGGCGGGGGATATGGTATCTTATGGATCTAGATGTAGGAGAGAAGAAGCTTCAGTTATCCCTTGTACTTATCGGCAGCCTTGTTTTGTTTTTGATGAGTAAAGTCTCAAGATCCTTAATCTCTGCTCCTCTCTCTCTTTGTTTCGACAGTCACGAGAATACCTTCCTCAACGCAAATTACTTCCGACAAACTCCCGAGTCCAAGACTTGGTTCGTTGTCGATGTTTTATTCACGAATATAGTGATCAGGCAGCTTATTGTGTTCTGTTGGTGGTCGTTGTGGTCCTTGGAGAATATCTTCCTCATCAACAACGTCATCGGTGTAAAGGATAATGAGGTATCTTGGGACTCCATCATCCTCGGGTACTTCACCACCATCATCGCCTTCGGTATGGATAAGATGCTCTTGGCCTCCACGACAAGGAAGCAATATATCACCAAACCCCTTCAGTATCTTACCACGCTGATCGCATTCTTCGCCAGTGTAAACGTGTGGCGCGGCATTTGGAGTCTCTACGATAATTATCTGTTTCCCAGCGTGGATAAGGATTTGAACTACATCGTGAGTGCCGTCTTAGGATTCTTGGTTCTCTCCATCACTCTTCTCTCTAACTCCGTGTGTAATGATCAGATCGCTTCTGATATGGACGAAGGAGAGATAGTTTGCATTAAGTATTGGAGACTCCTAAACAAACAATCTCTAGAAAACGAAGAATTAGTTCCTATTCTAGAGTAAAACACATATTTCAGCGGTTTTTCCGATTTTTAGAAAATTTGCCAAATTGTGATATTATTTACAATGTTAGAAAATTTGAGATATTTTATTTTACGGACTAAATTACATTTTTTAGATTTCATACTACGAGTTAGAAAAGAGAACAACAAAGCAATACATATAACGCACTTATTACTTTTTAATGTGATATATAGAATATCATTTAAATTAAATATAAATTGTTTAAATGATGCGATGTTCGTCAATTTTTCAGAATTGAGGTCGAGCATGGCGGTCTTAGATCTGGGTTCTGTGGCCATGGTACATAATAACATTTTTTTCTGTGTTGAAAGGGTGAAACCATTAGTTTGGTTCATTGATCAACTACTTTGTTTATTTGTTCTGAGTACGGATAAGTGTAAATAATTTTCTACCGATGCATCAATTGTATATAGGCTAAATTCCATTCTCAGCATTCTCTAATATCATGAAAATGGTCATAGAAATTATCCCGCTGGATTAATCGTCATGTATGTCAGATTAAGATTAATCGATATACTGGAGGAATTATGTGACAACGTCCTACTCGTCTGTGAAACAGCAGCTGTTACATTTAAGAACTAAAGAAACTCGATTAATAAAATCTCCATTCTAGTAAACTTAAACGAAGAAAAGACCATTGCAAGAAACTGTCCCGACAATGAATTCTGTGATCATTTTATCTGCAATATTAAGTTCTTAAAATTCCCTCTTCCTTAAGTTTGAATATTTCCAGATGGTTTCTCACCACTATATATAAACCAGGATTAATAGCCTAAGGTGAAAAATTATTTTATAAAAATCTTTAATGCACAAAGTTAAAGGGTTACTCTGTCCTCAACTGCCAACTACGGTAGAAGATCAAAGCTATATGAGTAGCTAATAAGAAACACGGGAGTAGATCAATGCTTCATGAGTAGCTAACAAGAAACTACAGGAATAGCTAACAAGAGACAACGGGAGTAGATCAAAGCTTCATGAGTAGCAGACAACAAACTACGGGAGTAGATCAAAGCTACAGGAGTAGCTAACAAGAAACTACGGGAGTAGATCAAAGCTACAGGAGTAGCTAACAAGAAACTACAGAATTAGCTAACACGAAACTACGGGAGTAGATAAAAACTATGGAAATGGATCAAAGCTACAGAAGTAGCTAACAAGAAACTACAGTAAATTACAAGAAACTACGGGAGTAGATCAATGCTACGGGAGTAGATCAAAGCTACGAGAGTACATAAGAGCTACAGAAGTAGCTAACAAGAGACTACGGGAGTAGATCAAAGCTTTAGGAGTAGCTAACAAGAAACTACAGGAGTAAATACCAGGAGGAGTGAAACTGATGGAAAAATCAAGACGACCTGGAGAATGTAAGAAATGTTTAAAAACTCCTTGAACAATATTGTACTATCAATGATCTAATGCTTTTATATTTTAGGATTTTAGACCTTGTTTTGTAATACAATAATTTCAGACTATAGCAGGGAGTAAGGAATAGAAGGGAGATATAACTGACGCGATTCGCCCTACCATATGATTATACATACTTTGCAGACGAGTACTTCATTTGAATATGAAATATTTGTCCGATGTACAATTACCGCGTATACAATAACCTTTTCTGAATATTTCATATACAAAAGGAGCATCCGTCTGCAAAGCATGTATAATCATATGGTAGGGCGAACCGCGTCAGTTATATCTCCCTTCTATTCCTTACTCCCTGGACTATTGTCGTGCATTTTCATGATCATAAAACGATCCGATCTTTAAGTAAGCATTTTCAAGATTTCATCTCAACCTACCATCAGAGGTGAGAGTCAAACAGTAACTAAGCTCATTGGAACTTCATAAAATTTGGGTTTGTTTCCATTAGAAAATAATTCACAAATTCGGCGACAATTTCGAATTAGTCACCTATTTTTTGGTCATGCCCTGTGTACATAAAAAGTGAGTATGCGTAAAAAGTATAATGATCAATCAGAAATTATTAGAAGAATAAAAAGAAATATATTTAATAACAAGCAAGATTATATAATTCAACAACAACATCACAAATATTATCTTTAAAAGAATACTTTAAATATCATAAATTAACGAAAATATAAAATACAAAAGTTAGAGTAAAGATTGCAATTCACATAAATCTTACTGAACACGTGTTTCAAGTTCGTATAAGGAAAACAGTTTTTAATTCTGGAGTAAAACTTAGCAGACAATGTATTTTATAAGTTTAAAAATATAGATTAAAGAGAGAATAATATTTCTCTGGTTGAAGTTTATCAAGGTTAAACAGAATAATATTTCTCTGGTTGAAGTTTATCAAGATCAAACAGAATATTTCTCTGGTTGAAGTTTATCAAGGATAAAGCGAATAATATTTCTCTGGTTGAAGTTTATCAAGGATAAACAGAAAAATATTTCTCTGGTTGAAGTTTATCAAGATTAAACAGAATAATATTTCTCTGGTTGAAGTTTGCCAAGTTTTATAGAATCCTCCAACCACTGGAGGCGCACGTGCTTACACCCACTCTGCGCACGCAGACTTTCATCTGAAAAAAATTGTTCTAAATATTAGGAAGAGGTTAATAATATAATATGATCTCCGACTTTAGCAATAACTTTCATCTCTTTAGTTAAACATTTTTTTCTTCATATTTTTCAATAGAAGCATTATCATGGTCTAGAGTGATTTTTTTAAGATGAAAAAAATAAGTCTGCTCATGAAGCCGAACTACAAAAAAGCTATGCCACCTACGGCAATTTAATGTTACAAAGGTTCTGAGATTTGACAGAGTTAAATGAAGTTAGCTGAAACTCTGGTGAAACCCTACCTGACAAATAAACAATATGAGAAGCTGTATCCGCTGTATCTAGGCATTTCCCTCCTAGTCCCACTATACTCCGTCTCAGGATATCATAATTAGGAGAATCCTTGCTCAACTTTATTCTTAACCCGCAGAATACATCCGGGAGAGGATTTCTTGTTTTAAAACCACATCCGACATCAACATGTTTACTTGAAGACTCCTCCTTACTAGTCTCCGGTTCCCTTAAAATATCCTTTCTCTTCTCATCTTCTCGTCTTGGTTTAGTTTCCTCCTTGCTGGTTGGCTTATCCTTGAACTTGGTAAAATAATCTCGAACCGATCCTTGCTTTGAATCTCTAGGGTTAGGAGGAATCTTCGGTTGATTTTTTTCTTCGTTCCCTCTTTTCTCTTCTCCATAGTTCCCTTTGTCAGGTGTTCTCGAGTCCTTAGTTTCCTGAGCTCCCTCCAGTACAAATACTGTAATATGAACCTGTTCAGATTGAAACACATTCTTGATCAGAGTTCTGACAGCAGACCAGTTTAATCCGTCCAGACCACAACCTATCTTGGGCATACAGATCTCAGTCACCTTATTCTTTACAACATGCTCCTTCATCTTCTCCAAACTTTGTCTCAGGGTTTCATAACTAGGTTTCCCGTAATATTTCTCTTTTGTAACAAGATTATAGATGAATCGGGATTTATCTCGGAGAACAGCTAAACCACCCACAGTTGCCTTGCAGTCCTCGATCTCTTTAATCCGTCCAAACTTCTCTCGAAAGATCTTAGCGATCCCTTTCCCTAGTTTACAGTCAACACTGATACAGTGAGCCAGAGAACTTGAATCCGGAGAAGAGAATAGATCTCCGTTCTTTGTTTCCAAAGTGAACCCTGAGCTAGCTTGTGTAATCTTATTCTCCAAATTATTATTCTTGATTGGTGTTCCATTTTCTCTCTTCTTCCCTGACCCTAGTAAAATTAAAAATAAAAATGGGCCATAAAATTAAAAATAGGAAAACAGAATGATGAAAAATTTAATATTTTGGTTTATGAAAACCTGTTTGTGTAATCATCTTTAGGTTTTGGACAAAGAAAAGTTTGTGATAGATCCCTGTAAACAATTAATATACTTGGATAAAGAAAACTTGCGTCATTTAATCAATGTTTTAATTTTTTCTCCTGGAACTCTACAAATATATAGGACAGTAAGACCCTAAAACTGTTATGCACTTTACGTAACCTTAATCTTAGAACAGTTTGTGCATTTTAGTCAAAATAAAAACTCCACACATAAATATCAATGTCAAGGTTTTTATATCTAAAATACTAAATCACGAAGTTAAGACATTTAAATTTAAAAAACCCCCCCCAGACTATGCATAGATTCAGACTCCCAGCCTTTATATTGTTAAGTAACTATTTTCGATTATTTTTGCTTTTTATTTTTGATAATTAAAACCGTTGAACATATCCTGGAGAAAACTTAGTTATGTTTTTTAAAAGCTTACTGATATTAAGGATTAAAAACCAATTTTTTATTAGAACATTGAATTAGAATATTGAAAATTAACCTACAATAATCACCAATATAAAGCAGAAAAAGTGTCTTCTGCGACCTTTCCTTTAGTAGGAAATTCCTTAAATGGGGTTTGTAATTTATAACTATTTAACCTCTGTGTACCCTGAACATTTTAAGAGATTTATCAACTTAAACAAATTATCAAAAAAAAAATCCTTAAAAAATATTTTGAATTTAAAACAAAGGGCGAAAACAAATTTTTTTTAAAAATCGATTCTCAAAACGTAACCACCCAAATGGATGATATTGCAAGTCGACTTCGCACTCAATCTCAGTAATTATACATCATTAAAAGGTTTTTATGTCGCAAATGAATCATAAAAAAATTCTCCACAATACTATATTCTCATTTCAACTACCATACATTGCCTGTCACTCCCTTTAAGCAACTTTGATTATAATTTTTTTTTGTATCCATCCATTAAGAAAAATAAAAAAAACTGTGGAATCGTCATTTATGTTCCATGGATATTTCTACTCCCAGTATGTAAGCAAGGACTAACCTATATTTCCTGCGTCCTCGTTCTTCATTCTTTTCACCGGAGAGGACGTGGTGGAGCTATGCGCCCTTTTCTTCTCTCTAGATGTTTCAGGACTCGAGTTCTTTGTGGGACTTCCATCTTCAGGTTTAAAACTTTCTAAAATGAGAGAGAAAAATGTTTTAAAACCCATCTAAAATATTATGTTTTTTTCTTCCTACCTAAATCAATATCCATGTGTTGTTTTGATGCTTTGTAGAGTTCCTCTAGCTCCTGAAGGTTGGTGGCGGTGTCAACCGTTTTATCCTCCCGTATCCGGGTAACCCTAGGAAACCTAATAGATATACCGGAGGCAGTATGCAGCTCCGCCTTACTAAACTCCGCTCCAGTGATCTCCCAGACTGGAGAATCATTCGGATCCTTGACCACAAAGTCCGGAACCATGGTTCGATTGATCTTGAGCCAGCCTGGAACACGGTTATGATCTCCCTTGATCTTGATCATGTTGGGCAGTAGTTCGCCTTGAAGACGATCTAAGGTGGCATCGTCATGTCCTAAATCAGAATCTAGTTGAAATGCTTGATAAAGGAAACATGAAAAGTTAAAAATATTGCCGGGAAACATGACCTGTGTGTACTTTAGAGACGGTATACCAGGTTTCTGATTCTGAATCCCTGCATCCCATCAGAAATATTGATATCAATCCTCCTTTCTGTCCGGATCCATACCAACCACCCAGCACAACCAGATCCGCTGTATCCGCCATTGCTCCCTCGTTTAGATAATCCTTTTTAATCTAGAACATTCTTCATTAAACCAAATCAAGAAATAACATATATTATATTAATATACTAAATACGAGTAAAAACACTGTTTATTGTTTTGTACTTGTACCTTTAACCAATGCCGCTTTCCTGGTTCATATGTAGACTTTATATCCTTAATCATCAATCCTTCCAGACCCTTCTTAAACACATCCTTGATCATATCCACCAGGTCCGGTTTCTTGGTGATATGCTTGATCTCGGAGAGTTTAATCCTGTTCCCCACCTCGGTCATGTTCTCCTTGAGAAACCTTCTCCTGTCCTTCAAGGATCTGTGCATCAAGCTCTCCCCGTTGTAAAAGATGCAATCAAACACGAATAGACATGGATCCGCGTCCTTGAAATCTGAACCCTTGTGTATACCGAGAGAACCGAAAGGAAGAGGATTCCCTAAATAAACCTTGTTTCAAAACTATTCTAAAATATTCTGTTTTTAAATATATATATCTATCTTACCTGTTCTATTATCCACCAGAAGAACTTCAGCGTCAATTATAAGATCTGCCGCCGACGGAAAAGCTTTCGGGATAAACTCCTTGAAATGCTTCACCTTGTGTGCCATCACAGGTTTCAGACTCCTGGAGTAATACTTGAAATCTGAACCACGCTTGTGAACCTGAACTCTCTCACCGTCATATTTAATCTCACTGAAAATACCATTCGGACATTTTTGAAACGCCATGTCAACTGATTTACATGGGGCGGCCAGCATGGGTTGGACGGGCTGCATGAGACTGGCTCCAATCTCAAGTTTACCATGCGGGGTTCCAGCATTCCTTAGTTCCAGGATCTTCTGGATGACTTTGTCAATATTCCTTGAAGAATTAAAAGCATCGTTAGCATCAGGATGAAGAGCTTCTAAAACATGTTTAGGACCAGCCTGGATCTTGAGATCTCCTTTCATCAATCTCACAAACATTCTTAAATCATTTACTGTACTTCTCTTCACAACCTTGCTCAGCATATGCTGCTGCTCCTCTTCCTTCGTTAATCTGGAGAGTTTGTCCAGGAACTCATCAACCTCATGGAGGAACAAGGTTCCGTCTGTAACCTGGTTCACCCTAGAGCTCTTGCTATAGAAGACAGAGATGGTTTCAGCAACATCTCCTTGCTCGAGATCTTCAAGCATGGCATCCTCATCAGTATCAAATATTCTGAACAGTAAAATAATCAACCCAGAACATTAGATGAACAAACCAGTCTCATAGTTTGTAGGTACATTTTAATATTTACATGCATAAGGAGTTAATTAACCTCTGGGTACAGGGTAGGCTTGTATAAACATTGACTGTAGGTTGAATGTCCATAATAATAATGAAAATAATGATAATAATTTCTAGCTATTTATCAAATTATCATTATTATTGTTATACCTACTAAATATTTTGATCAGCTGCTTATTCTGCATATTATAGATTCTCTTCACTACTCCGGGTAGAAGTAGTTTAACCCATAGGAACAAATCACCCTGATAAATCAGATATAAAATCAGGATGTTATGTGCATTTTCTTTTTTTTTTGACATAGAGACTTCAGAGACCATAATTTATTAAGCCAAGTGCCAGACAAAAGTTGGAAACATTTGATTTAGTCAGCTTAACCAAACCACGCTAATCTTATTAGATGAAGACAAATGGTCTTTTGTAACAAATTAAATGTTTGATTGGGAAGCAGGAAAAAAAAACTATAAGGAAATAACCTGAAACTCTGTTCCAGTTCCTTTTTTGAAGAAAGCCGAGTAGATTTCCGTTTTCTTGAGATAGCTCGGAGTTTCGCGGATTTTTGAGCATATCTTCTGGAATTGTCTGAATGAATTATCCTTGTGGTTCGGATCCCCGGAGACAGGGCGACTAGTCGTAGTTTCCTAAATACACAGAACTAAATTTCAAAAATTAAGATTTTGAAGTTTTAAAGTTCAATCAATTTTAAGCAAAGCAGTTTTTTAAAACCAAGATTTACTAATCTGAATAATGTGAAACGGGCTCATTTGATCTTTAAATCCATAATCGTCTTCATGATAATAAAAACAGTACCTCAGTCTTGATCATAGCTTCTTCTTTGATTTCAGGAGTTTTTGGTTTCTTTTCCTTCTTTACTCCAGGACTGGCAGTTTTCTTAACCCCCGGGGATTTTGTCGGAGTTTCTAAAAAAACTAGTTTGACTCTTTCGGGTTATACAACTAGTTTTGTTGTTGTAGAAAATGCATTCCCTCTTTTATATGAATTATTTGATTTTCAATATGTAGATAAATTTTGTTCAATTTTTTCATCATCACAAAATATGAACTTTTGGGGAAATAACATAAGGTTTAGTTGAGAAAAAGTATTAAAAAAAAAAACAGATAGAAAGCTGAAGTCCAAATTTTTATTTTTATTTTAAGGATTTTTTAGAAAACATTTGATTTAATGAAATAGAATTATGCATTTAAAATGAAAGATAATTAGGATCACAATAAATCTTACAATTAAATTTTGCTTGAATGCAGACTTGTAGATTATGGAACACTTCAAATACTTTTCTTATAAACATTGATTAAAGGATATGTCAACAGTATTTCAAGTGAACCTCTATTTCTAAAGCGGGGTGTCCGATTCACCATGGTTTCCTTTTAAGCTTTGTCTTATCAAGAATTACTTAGATATTATGTTTATAATTATAAAAACACAACACTTTCAACCGTGGTTTCTCTTCGAAAGGACGTGTGAATCTCTATTGCAGGATAACAATGTGATTATGTGAGATCTGCAAGAAGCCCCATCTTGGGCAACCCAGACCGCCTACAGGAAAATTCAGAATCAAATACTTGCAAGCTAAATTGACAGTGTTATTTGCCATATTTGGGACCAGATAAATGTTTTAATAATAACGTTCTGAATAGGGCACGTCCCTCGACACTCCCATAAACTTTCACACTGATTTACAAAAAAATCTTAATATATTAAGATAAAAAATTACTTTGCACAAAACATTTATAAAAATCTCTTTTATTATGCCAAATTAGTGTGATGGAAAACTTCTTACTTTTTTTTGGTCCATCCTTGTTTTTCTCTGCTGCTGTATCTCTAATTAAAGCCAGGATAACTTGTTTATCTTCGTCCTTGATCTCCGACCAGCCGTCTAGATCTCCGGGATCCTTAATGAGACTAACAACGTAATTTCAAGTAACCCTCCATGTTAATTTCACAAAGGTTTGAATATTTGTCTGTGTAATATTGATGGATCAATCCTTGTTTTCTATCTCAAAATTGTATTTTAGGATAAACTAAAGCCTGAAAGAAGAATGCTAAACCAGTGTGATCCACTCAAGAACTATATATGCAGGATGATTAAATAATCAAGAACATTGCCTTTAATCCTGTCAATTTTTAAGTTATAACATCAAAATGTTATTTTATTCTGTATTTTAAAACTAAGATATAATGTAAACCATTTATTTATCGAGTATCTTTAAGGAAACTAATATTGGCATGGCACATTTTAAATTTTAAAAACTGTAAACATAAATATTTAATCCCAAGCTTTAATGGCAAATAATGACCGTCATGTTACAGATGATCATGGGAGATCAAGATCAGTAAAGACTTGCGCCCAAATTCTATCTCAAGAAGTGATCCGTTAATTCAAATGACATTCAAGATACAAAATTATTATCAAAGCTTCGTTCGGAGATCGTGTAAAGCATTAGATTCATTAATTGTATAGCAGTTGTTTGATCCAGTTGATCATTAAGAGTGATCAATATAACCCGGAGTTCTTGAGGCTCCAAGAGGCTAGATTTGTCTCAGAAACACAAGCAGGTCAATAAACAAAGCTTATTGAAGTGTATTCATTTGAAGAAGATAATTAACGCTGAAACGTGATTTCAACTGATTGATCTTTAGATGCGGAACAGGACTGATACGAGATATCTTTACCAGGGCTTCCTATCTACAGTTAGACCTTACTTCTTTTATTCACCCATCTACACCTTAGTTAACAATAATTCCTATGCAGGCAAAAAGAATCTGAGGACGACTGTACGTATCGTTTCTGTACTCAGTAGTAATGTTGCTCTTGAGGGATTGTATTTAGATCAATTCCAGAAGGTGAATACTTCTGACATTTTAATAATTATTCTTTGAAGAATAAGATCGTTCCTGGTCTGACATTCAGGATTATCCTCATCTACATGCATTCATTCTACAGAATCCAGGAAGAATTGCAGTCCGCAGTATTCACAGGACACACATATAAAGTTATTATCTAATAAACCTAACCTAATCTACATCAACTCTGTAATATCCACAATGAAAACAAGTTGCTTATAGTTCTTTACATTCGCAGGAGGAATTATACTGACACACGGAGAACTTGAAACCTGATAGAACCCCAACAGAAGACATTTGGATCACCGTGCGAGAAAACCAAAACCGCCATCAAATGTAAGATTTATGTATGTATAGATACAAATATAAATATATATATTTATTATTCAACCAAAAAAAACAGATAAATATTTATTTATGTATCTCGTAAAATATTCTTATGTGCCTTTAGAAACGGATGTTTTGAGCTTTTATAAAGTTCTCATAAAACTATTCAAATCCTTTTATCTGGTCGTAACATTTCACCAGAGATCACATTTAGAAATATCGGATTTTAATGTATTCTGTCAAATAACTTTATCTGGTCACAACATTTTACCATTCATCACATTTTATTAATATATAATGCTAATACATTGGTATAAAATGGTTCTGCATTTCTATTGTTCCGACGCTAAAAAATTGAATTAAGAGGATGCTAAAAGCTAAAAAGTGCACAACAATTTCAATTTGGGTTTCTCCGTAAAAATGACTGCTAGATTTCTTAAGTAGAGACAAGGTAGGACAATGATTCTCAGAGGCGCACACAAGAGGGGGGGGGGGAATGTAGGCTCAGGCTCCCCCTGGATCAGTAAAATTATGGTTTCCAAGGGGTTTTCAGGTCTCAACGGGTGCTGTACCCCCCCTGGAAACCAAAAAATGTAAGCTCCCCCCACTGGAAAAATTCCTGTGTACGCCCCTGCTAGCACTGAATTAATTGATCATTTATTCAAAACTTGTTGTTACACAGATAACGAATTAAAGGATATTGTTGTTAACAGGTATGGAGCGCCACTTAGGTCGACAATCTCGAAATATTGAGTAAATTTTAAATTAAAATCTTTTAATACTTTATCCCTTTACCTTTTCCAACCCTTTATCTAAATCTTCTCTGTTTACCTCAATTATTTTAGTTGTAGCTCTGGCTTTCAGAAATGTTTGGAAAATGCAGATAGGATGATGATAGTTCTTCATTTCTCCTTCCTCGTTGAATGGATTTGAAGTTATCTTTGCTATTCTCACATCTCCCTTCTCTATTTTCTGCTTACATTTCTTACACCCAGCCTAGAACAGTGGTAATTTCAAAGCAACGGCTTTTTGACCCCCCCCCCCTTTAATTTTTATATATGTTTCATATGTTTTACAAAGGGACCATAGCCGGCCCCTAGCCCTTGAATAATAAATAGAAATATTTTTATGTTGAAAAATAGTTGAAATCGCGTGTGCAAAAGATATCAGAGTGTGGTCTAAAAATCTTGTACTAAGCATTGGAGAGATTCCGTGTCAAGAATGTTTGACATGACGAATTAATCTTGATCAATTATATATGTTTAATCTAAAACTCTGACTTAACACTTGAAAAGGGAAAATCATTTTTATTCGATACATTACTGAGGATCAAATATCTATGCTTTGCAAGTACAGTGATTGTCGTGTCCTTCCGGAACTTTTCACTTTATGCAAGTAAAAAAGAAACTATTTAATGCAATGTTTGATATTTAATTCACTTCTATGTTATTTAAATACTTACCACTCGTTTCCCGTAGTCCACACAAAATTTGTTGTCAGACATTTTTCTTAAAATATTTTAAATTGTCTAGATTTCTAACTGCACTTACATCAAATTTTCAGTTAATAAATAATAGTTTCTTATGGTTACTAAACTACAGACAACTTTCATATATTGTCTGTAGTTAGCTTGCTGGAGGAATAAAATTAATGGTCGAATATAGAAAACCCTTCCTTTATAGACTCTGAAACTAAATTTCACAATACTAGCCTCCTGTTAGTTCCTGAATCGGCTTGAATTCAGAATTGCATGATTAAGAAAAGCATTGAATGAAGCAATGTTAAAATATCCGACCAATAATATAAGCTTATAATTTTGTGCGTATGGAAACCTAATAAACCTAGTCTAGGATTGGTTGAAACCCAAAATCTGTTTTATGATTGGTAAAATACACAAATGTAAAACCGGTTTTATCAGCTGTTCTTCTGTCTGCTGACAATTTTAGTTTTCCCGCGTATTCTTGATTCTTGAAATAAAGTTGGCGGATTTATTGTTTCAGTGAACTTAGTTATCTTTACTTAAATCTAATTACAAGTTTACAAAGAATCGTAAACAATGCAGGCTTAAATGAAATATGAAAGTGAAAATTTAAGTTATATAAAGAATGTCTAACGTTTGTTGAGGATTACAATTACTTGGTAAAGCTCATCATGGATTTAAACGCGGATAGCTCCGATGACGAATCCTTTTCCATCTCTCGCTCCAATTTGAATGCCGACAGTTCTGACGATGAATCTGCTCCTGTTCCCTTATCTCGGAGCAAATCTACCTCAGCTAGTCCTGAACCTGAACCAACCAAGAAGAAAACAGGACGAGTTATAGATAGCTCCGATGAGGATGATGACAACAATGATAGAAATGATGACAAAGTTAGGAAACCTGAAAATTTCTCCGATGATTCAGACGAGGAGAAAGAAAACTCCAACAACACTAGTGTTAGGTATCTATTTTTTTTTAGCTTAACAGTTCATTTATCAGTCAGCTAAAATACCTGGCGTTGCCCGTGTTTACAGTTTCGTCCAAATTCTTGAAAGTTAAAGACTCCTGTGTCCATAAAATCAATCTGAGTGAAACCCTTTCTGCCCTCTACCCAGGGGGATTGAATTTATCTATTTTTCTTTTCGGATAATTTCCTATAGAACGCTTTTGGACCTTTTGTACATGGATCTCATATGTAACACAGGAATGTTATTGATCATGTGGCCGCAACCCAGAAATTGTCTCAACCCAACCTAACCCTGAAATAATAAAAAAATAAGTAATAATAATTTTGCTGAGGGGTCCAAAAATCGTATACTAGGACGGACCCTTTTTTCGTATTGTTCGCTGTTAGTGTAACTGAGAAAATCGTCCAAACCTTGGCAGTAAACAGACTCCGTTGCCCAAACATTTATTTTAAAATATATTATTTCTGCAATCTCCTTTATTTACTCTATTGCCTAAACCAAATATAATGGGAGAATCGCAACAAATAATCAATTTTCTTATGGAAAAGGGTAGATTCATCCTTATTGCTCAAACGCGGTTTTAAGGGTACCATCGTTAATCAGACAGTTATTATTGATATGTTATACGACTAATAATATAAACGAAAATTAAATAAATATTTAGTTATCTTAAATAATTAACCATTTTTCATTCTTTCAGGAAGAAGAAGATTGCAAAAACCTTCCTTGGCTCCGACAGTGAGGATGAGAATGTTGTTAAAGAAACTCAGAACAAATCGAACTCCAACCTACTCAAGGACCGGAGTCTCTACGACGCTGATTCCAGCGATGAAGAGGCTTCGAAACCTAAGAACAATTCCAGCGACGACGAAGATGCTCCGACTCATCGAGGATCGGACTCCGAGAACTCCGGGAATTCAGACAACGAAGGTTTAAATGTAAAACATATTAAGTCTAAAAAAGAGAAACATGATCGGAAGTCTAAATCCAGTGCAATGAGTGAAATAAGATCCGAGTCCCAACGATTGCTCCGGGAGAGCACGGTCGGACTACCATACCATCGCCCTAAGCAGAGAACCCTGGAGGAGTTTCTGAACCGTAAGAAAGGAACTCCGGAGATTGTTCAATCCATTAAACTTCAACATTTTACAGAGAAGGATGAGAAACTTCTCCAGGAACGACAGAAACAACTTGAAGAGTTTTATAAGAGTGATGAGGAAGAACATGAAGAAGATGAAGATGACGCGGATTTTAAACTCGAAGATGAGCCATTGAATGTGGATGAGCCAAGGAATGAGGACGAGCAAATGTATGAGGATGAGACAAATATTGCGGACGCGCCGCTGAAAAAGGTTGAACTAGTTCCGGCTGAAGATTTGGTGCCTACCGAAAGAATGGTTTCTTCGGAAAGTTCGGCTCTAGTCGAAAATATTTCGTCCGAAAGTCTTGAGAAACCTATGGATGCTATTATCACTCCACGAGTAACTTCAGATGCTAACCTAGTCAGTGATAACCTTTCCGAAAACCTTGACCGAGAAAATATGCACGATGAAAGTTCTAAGATCCTTTCAAATTCGGAATCTCTATCTGACCTTGCAACTGAAACTGAACCTGAAGTAGAGAAACTACCGGAGAGTTTAGATCTAGTATTAGATGATACATCGGAGATCTGTTCTTCACAACTCAATGTGAGTAAACCATTGGATCGCAGATTACAAAAGCTTGAAGCTCTCAAGAAGCAGATTGATCCTAGTTTACTAGAGAAGACGCTCAACCTAACTCCTAAACTTGGAGGAAACGATGACGATGAAATGTTCTCCCCTAAACACGATTTGTCTATCGGAGCAACTAAATTGTTAAACAGGTTTGTGACGCATGCTAATGCCTCAGGCCCGCCGATTCATCTTAGAGACTGTATGAATAGAGAGGAGTTAAACATAGTCACGAAGAAAACTAATGCTGATGGTACTGAAGTACTAGAGACAGAAAACTTGAAGTATAACAGAAAAACTGGACCTGCTCAAAAACCTATACACATGTCATTCTTCACACTAAAAGAAAAACTTAAACAGGAAATGTTAGCGAAGAGACGCGAGGAGCGTCGAAAGAAAGAGGAGTTTACGAAACTAAATAACGAGGAAATTGCCGATTTGCCGGACGAGGAAGAAGTGGAAGACGATTTCAATTTTGAGGATGAGGAGGAGAAGCGTGAGTATGACGAGGACGAATCTGAAGGAGAATCTGAACCCGAGGAGAATGATGTAAACATCAAAGAGAAGAAGACTAAGCGAGGATTATTTTGTGACGACGAAGCTGAAGAATCTGGGGACGAGGACAGAGATGACGAGAATGATGAAAATGAGGATGATGATGAAGAAGACCAGGAGAGTGATACTGAATCTCTAAACCTTGTACAGGAGGAGGAGGATGAAGATGAGGAAGAGACCAAACCTAAAGTATCCAAGAAAAAGAAAGGATTCAAAAAGATTAAAAACGCCGAGTTTTTGTCTGACGAATCTAATTCTAATCAGATAACCCCAGGCACTGTAAACCTGTCCGAGCTTGAGACTCCAAACAATGACACATGCTCCGTTAAATCTATGGCTAGCTCTGCATCCAGTTTTGCCTTTAACTCTGCTCCACGGTGGACTCCTTACAAGGATCGGATAAACTCCGAGGGTGTAGAGTTCTCAGAGGCGGAGAAAAACCTTCCAACGAGTGCAAGCCCTACCTCGTCCCAGATGGCTAAAAAGAAACTAGGGTTCGAAGGTAAGACAAAACTTCATCTTTCATTATAATGCTTAAACAAATAACTTATTGTGGAAAGCAGAAAAAAAATTATTAACTTTTTTAATAGACGTTTGATGAGTTTTTAATGTCAGCTGTTATAAACCTTAAGTTCTTAGATCATTCAAACTTAAAATTGTGGTTTTCATATTTTTTATTTGGTTGTCAGGGTTGTTTGATGCTACAGATCCAGAAGTAGAAGATATTGATGATATTGTTGGATTATGTTCGGGAAAGTTCGCTACACAAGCAGTAGCTCCCATCTCACAGTTAACTCAGGATACACCGGTTCACAGGGTAGACCCGGAGTCTCAGGATACAAGGAACCCATCCCATGGTTTAGAGAGTCAGGATACTGTAATCCTCACAGGTTAGTACGTAGCTGCCATAAAATCCCGACAATTGTTAAATATTGATCTATTAAGATAAATTTATTCTTCGGGAAAAAAAATTACAAATTGTATTTTAATATATAAAACCCAATTCTAATAAAATATATCATGAAGATTAATATAAACCAATGATAAAAGTTTTCCAGAACGCTGATATTTTGAAAATTCAAATCTTCGTTTGAATTTTCGATTTGAATTCTTCTCGAATCTTTTCCTTTACATCGGTGGTTCAACTTTGAACGGGTTAGTGAGTAGTTCAGCGACGTAGCTCAAATTCATTAAATTCGATCCCAGAATGTTTTTTTTCCGAGGTCAGAATCTTAAATGGAACATTTTTTTTATTTTTTAGGAAAGATGTTATCGGTCGGAACTAGTAGATTAGATCAACTTCTAGGCTTGGACAGTCAGGATGTCGAGGATAGGTCTCAGACTGGACCTGATATCTGTCCTAGTGATGATGAAGAGCTTGCTCCAGGTTTTATGGAGGATGATCTCGGAGCAGGACGGATCCTAGACAGTGATGAGGAGACAGATTTGGTTAGATCTAAGAAGAGAAAAAGACGTGTTATTAGTGATGATGAAAGTGAGAATGAGGATGAGGAGGAAGAAAAGGGTGAAGATGAAGAGGAAATGGAAATGGAGAAACCTGTCAAATCTAAAGGAATGTTTGATAAGAAAGGTCGGTTGAGGAAGGATTTCTTTGAGAATGAGGCTGAATTGTCGGGTAGTGAGGATGAACTCTCCGAGGACGAGGATGAGAAGGGGTTGGACAGGTTAGTTTAATAGCACGGATCCTTTAAGTTTTTGATTTTTGCACAAGAATGTAAAATTAGATAATTTTCTAGATTTTTTTCATTTTATCTTTTTCTTTTTAAATTCATGATTAACGTTTAAAAATATTTTTTCTTCAAGGTAGTATTTTTGGATTAACTTTATCGTTACAGGTTAGAATTGGAGGAAGGAGATTTTGATGAAATTGATGAAGAATTGGAAAGAGATAAGGTATACAAATTGAACTTTCGTGTTCTATGCTATGTTGTAAAAGGGGTGTATATTGATTATTTATAATTTTGGGGAAAAAATGAAAACTTTGGCGTCCAAAGGCAACTTTTTTATTCTTTTTGATACTTTAAATAAATCTTAATTTTCCCCTTAAAAATCATTTATTTTCCCCATTTCAGCAATAAGAATCTTAAAAACTTTTTTTTAAGATATATATTTTAGAAATTTTTGGGGGAAATTATTTTCAATGGGAACAAAAATGAATTTTCGAGAAAAATATACACCCCTATGCTGTAATGAAAGTACAAAGTTCATTTAATAGCCTGGTTCTAGAGAGCTAAATACCACTCTTTACAAATCCTGCTTGGTGGTATACGAGCATGCGCATTAAAGGAAAATTTCTATAGAATGGATGATAAAACCGGTATTAGCTAGGATGACTAAAGAACTCTTCAGCTGTTCTATGCTAGATAATCCTACCCTTTATTAGGCAGCATTAGCGTCTAAAGAATCCGAATTTCCTAAACACTGGTATTAGCGTTAAGAGTGGTATAAGAGTGGTATTAGCTAATACCGCTCTTATACCACTCTTAAGAGTCATCTTTCTAGAACCGGCCTCAGGTCTGAATTTGGGTAAATATTGATTTTAATTCTTAAGTACAATATTTGGATGATTTTGAAGTGAAAATTTTGATCACGCAGTAGCTTGATTCTGCCTTGCTCGTTTTGTTGCGTTAAATTTCTTCTTTCAAACGTTCTATTCAAAAAGAATTGTTTAAATGGTAAACACGTTTATTTCGTTTTAGGTTGGACGAATTCATCAGAAGGTTCTCCTGGATGCAGATCAAGCAGAGATAAAACTGTTCCAAGAAAGGTAAGACTGTTAATCACTTCGACTATATACAAATACTATAATAGTACTAAATGTGGAACTAACATCTACTTTTCTTGCCCTACAGAGGTTTGGTCCATCACCATCACCAAATTTTAAGAATACAAATACTAGTCAGGATTTTTGATTGGTTTGCAGTGAATAGGATTCATTCCATTTTAGTAAGTTAAAGTGCTAATGTTTTTAAAGATTTTTCAGTGCAAAGGGTCCTTTTTGATGCAGATACGCTAAATGCTAAAGCTAATTTCTCTTGCAGAATGGGCACTGAGATATCACAGTGTCCGAATTTGATGAATTTGAGCCGCGTCTCAAATCCACCGAAAACCGGTTTCAATTGAGCACCGGCTTAAATCTTAAAACATTGAATACAATTTTGAGTGGAACCAACCATATTTATGCCGCGGCTCAAATTCTTTAAATTCGGCCTCCGGGGAGTTTTACATAACTCTTGTTGAGATTTGTGTTTTTAGAAAACATTTTGTATATTGTTGATATTTGGCACTCAGATCAATGCCACTGCTGGGAATTATTTAATGACATGAGTGGTTTTCACAAAAAATTTAAATTACCACATTGCAACCCATTTCAAAGTTCAACTGCAGTACACTTGTGTGACCATTGAGTATTATTTGTTGTTGTTGACAGTATCAATCTTGATTTTTGTAAACATTTAAAAACTTTTTTTACAGGTTTTTGGAGGACGGAGATCTTCACACAGATTACAAGAGGCAGAGGCAATTTAAATGGAAGGGTTTAGATGAAGGTCTTGAACTAGAGAGACGAGACAGTGATGGAGAGGAGGAGGATGAGGAGGTTGGTACTGCCGAGGAACAGTGGAGATTACAGAGATTGGAACGGGAGAAATGGATGAAAGGTGGACCTAAAGTTTTCTTTTTGTCAACCCAAATAATTATGTGTATGCTTTTTTCTTCTGAAATTTTCTCACCTTTTTTCTTATCTCTCCTTCACTTAATTCATCTTTAAAGCACATGCCTTTTTTTACATAAAAAAAATTATTCGACCAAGTTGAATTTTTTTTTTTAATATTAAGCTCTTTGCTAATATATATTAGCCATGGCTGAATTTTTTGGAAAAAACTATTTTTTTTTCTTCAAAATTCGAAATTTCGAATTTTTAAAGTGTTTTTAAAATTCCACGGGCAAAATTGGGCACTTTGGCTAGTAAACAATATTATCCTGTTTAGAAAACGGTACTAATCAGCGGCCGGGAAATCTAGGAGAAGAATCCCAATTTTTCAAGTTGGCTCAAAGAGCAATGAAGAAGATATCTAGTGGGGAGCGGACTCCTGAAAGTATAGAAATTAAAACGATGACTCGAAGTTCAAGTCTCGAGGTTCGAAACGGACCTCTTCAACCTCTTCAAGCACTGGTAAAAAAACAGCTAGTTTTTTAAACGTTTATTAATGTAAAGAAAGCTCATAAAAGAACGAAAAAAAAAATTTAAAAAAATGTTAAAAAAATTATAAATTAACTAAGTATGTTAAACATCTTTGAATTGAAAGTGATAATCTATATATAAATTTGGCTTGTCTGTCTGTCTGTCTGTTTGTTTGTATCCAATAAACGTCAAAACGGCTGAACCGATCGGGCCCAAATTTTTTGTGTGACATCTAGGGACCCCAGGGAAGGTTTATGAAAAATCAAAATTTCAAATATTTGTCTCCATCAAAATTCGATCGTCATTAAATTTTTAAAAATTTTGAAAATCCGCGAAATTTTTTGTGAAAATCCGCGAATTATTTTTTGTTTTGTTTTACGATGTACACAAAGAGAACATGTTCACAACTAATTTAGAAGATAGGCGCGAAGCGCCCTCTAAGGCTAGAAAGAAGGGCGCGAAGCGCCTTGAATTTCTAGTAACAGATATTTACTTAAAAGTCTAAGCAATTTTTTTAAACACAATAAGGGTATTTCTAGAAAAAACCTATTTAGTTAAAAAAAGGATTGGAATCATCTTCTAAAATTCTGCATAATCGAAAAGCTGGTTATATTTTTTAAAATCATATTTTATAAGACAAGTGTACACACTTTTCACAAGATTTCTTGTTTACTAAAATCTTAAAATCTTGGACACCATTTTCTCTTGATCGAGAAGGTTCAAGCCTTTTGGATATAATAATGTTCCGAGCTTTATGCGAACCAAAATACCAGTGATGTGAATAATAAAAAAGAAACGTATATTTTAAACTTTAAATGGATTTATTCGTAATCAATATCAAATCAAATCAGACTCTCATGGTACTCCCAAGACCAAAGTGACTACACAAAATAAGTTCTCAAGAGAGGTCCTACAGCTTGTAATATGGATTCAAGAGAGGTCCTACAGCTTGTAATATGGATTTTGGAAGTACTTTAAAATAAAAGAATTGTCCACTGAAAGTAAAATAACAATAATGGTCTGTTCATTTGTTCTTTTTTAATTCTCTTCATATTTTAGTTTAAATTTTCCGAAATATAATTATTTTCAGAATCGAGATCCAAGAAGTTCTTTCCTGGCTCGTGGGCAAACTTCAATAGAACAGATGGCAGTGTTTAACAAGAAAACTGATGACAGGTTGGTCCAAAATCAGATTTATTAATTTGTTTTCAATAAGAGAAGAGGAGAGGGGAGGGGGATTGAGTAGGAGCGGACAAGGAAAGACTTGAATCTGCCATCTCATAGGTCTTGACCCCCCCCTTCCGTAATTTTACAAAGCTACTTCTAAGCTCTTCATTAAAGGGAGTGACCGGCTATGTAAGGTAGTTGAACTGAGTATGCAGTGTTGTGGAAAACTTCTTTTGAATTAATTAGAGACATATTAAACTTTTTAAAGATCTGTAAATCCTAAGTTTGAGCACAAAGCCGACGTTCAATGCTCCTATTTAAATAACGACAACGAAAAATAAAGTAAAAATTATACAGTGATCTAATTATATGGTCAGGAACATATTTCTCAAAAGAAATTTGTCAATAAATCAATGCTAAAATCGATTATTTCGTTTTTATTATTATATTGAATTTCTTATATATCTTCTTCGAATTTATTCGTAGATTTCTTCAAATTCTTCAAATGCCGTCTTTTCAATAACAATCCTATAAAATCCGCGAAAATCTTTGTGAATAATGAGAAACCAGAATAATGAGAAAAAAGGAACTAATAATTGAACAAAATTACTTATTTTCGATGATAAGATTAATTTTTATTTTCTCGACATGTTCCTATACATGACGTCTGTAGTTTATTGTAGAACTTTTTTTACATTCTATGTCGTCGTTATTTGATAATAAAAAAAACTAATTCTGAAAACGTATCCACCCCCAAAGTAGGAGTTTTGAACGTCGAATTTGAATTTATAATAAAAAAACATTAATACCAGATTTTATGTATCATTAAGTTTATTACTACATTAAAAATGAGTTAAAAAATTATATTAAACTGTTTCATTTTGTAGGACGGGAACAGGAGCTAAGAAAAGTGCGCGGAACTTTGTGTTTGCTGCCATCAGTCCGGAGAAAGAGTCTGCTCCGGAGCAGATAGAACCCAACCCTGTTAAATCCAAGAAACCTCCTCCAGCTAAAAAACAGAAACTGGAAAGATCCTTGGTGGCGGATAATAGACCTTCCATTTTCAACCTTCTCTGATTTCTCTGATTATTTCAACGATTTTGTAGAAATGAGTGAAAAAAGACTGTACAAAAAATTAGATTTGAATTTATTATGTCGACCCTGAAAAATGTTTATTATCGTGAATACATTAATTAGTATAAATTATTGAATATATGTAAACATAATATAAGTTGTGAACAAGTTATGAAAGTGAAATGCATTTTGTGATTAATTGATTGCTATGAAGACGACAGTTATGAAGGTTTCGTAAGCTTGCACAATATTTGCGCATACAAATGAGAACATCTTTCCTAAATTTTGATGGATCCGAGATCGCTGGAAAAAAGTTTAACTCTGCCACTTATAGTCCTGATTTATTTATGATTTTCATTTATTTATCTGAATATTTCCTGTATCTCGACTGTGGAATTTCATAACGTCGACCTATGCATGTAATTACTTTAGCAAAAATAAAATCCTCTTTTGCCAACTCCGCAATCTTTCAGGACGAAAATGGCCGTCCTCTTTAGACAAGTTCTAGAGTTGGAACCCTTGATGAGATCACGGAACCTGAGCCTGCTGAATCCCTCCAGTATCCTGGTCCTGCAATTCGCTGGCAAAAAATACAAATATTTCCCCGACAGGGAATTGAACCCTCCGCCCAAATTTGAGAATATAAATGTCCCATCCAAGTACAGACTGCCTATGATGCCGAAAACCCCGAATGTCTGGCAAGCAGGTAAGGTTTTGTTTTTATTATTATGAAAAAACACTAATACCCGGCCCAGTGATCCTAACAAAGGACTTAAGGATCATAAATGGTTTTCAACTTGCCAAATAATTCATTGAATAAGCACTAGCGAACCCAATTCCTTCCTCTTCATTTTAAACAATAAAGAGTGTTCCACATCTCACTGGATCTTACTAATAACTCTTAGGTCGGATTTTTGGGACAAATCAAAAATGTAAAATAGTTAAATCATTATAAATATGTACGTACTAATTTTGAAAGCACAACATGTTTTATTATGCGTACTTTGGTGTTCTAAGTTAGGAAATAATCGAATTTGATAAAAGATTCTCGGTTAGCCAATATTCTGGGTTAGGTTAGACAAATATAAAAGTAAAATTTATTTTCTTACGATCTCTAAATCTTTTTAAACATAGTTTACAATCCCATGATAAGAAAACCTTTGTCTTTCTCTTTTTAGTATGGTAATAACTTTCAATAAGATTATTCTATATAATGGTTGACGTATCTGCCAGAGATTCAAATATGATACAAATTATAAATTTACAGATAATAAACATCTTTCTTGTTAAGGTGGTTCGATGCGACCTCCAAGACAGTCGAAGGAGTTGTGGAGGATGAAAGGAGAAGAGTTGGTTCACACAGATCTCCAACTAGATCAGTTCGGTATAGTTGCATTAAACGGAGGTATGCTCCGATATTCTCACTTCGATATGCTCAGGATGGGTATCGGTCGACATCTGAAGGCAAACGAAACATTTGGAATGTATCGAGTCGACGCTCCGTACAAACCTCTGACAAATCACGGAGAAGGGAAGAGAATGGGAGGTGGGAAGGGAACGGTTAAAGAATACGGAACTCCGGTAAGAGCTGGACGTATTATAGTTGAGGTCGGAGGGAAGTGTCTCTGGGAAGAAGTTCAACCCTGGTTAAACAAATTAGCAGAAAAACTTCCATTCAGCGCTATTGCGGTAAACTCTGAAATGTTGAAGAAGTTAAGAGAAGAGGAACAGAGGCTTGTTGATACAAATCTTAATCCAATCACATTCGAGTGGTTAATTAGAAACAATATGTTCGATTGCCAAAGAAGATTGTCTATATACGACAAGATTTGGTTCGGTAAATTCGTTTACTTAGATCGTCAGCTTAATAAGAAATGGAAGTGGGTGACGGGAATTAAGTCCAAAGGACGTCATTAAAGATCTCATATTTCAGAGAGAATGGATAACCGGGATTTTTACAAAATATTTCGCGGATTTCTGGGATTAAACCGAACAGATCCAGGGTTCCCACCAGACGAGGATAGAGACAAAGGAGATAAATACTCAGATCAAGAACATAGAAATGATCCAAACTTTCGAAACTTTCAAGTTTTTACAGACCCTTTAGGGAAACATCGGAGTTTGAAATAATTTAAAAAAAGGGGACCTTCTTAATTTTTTAATTGGCAAGTCAAAAATCGGGGAAAAAAATCTGAACCCACAATAATTAATAAAATTTTGGAAATATATATTTACTCGACCGTGAAAACAATTGCTTATCAGATTATAAGCATTTTTAATGTAAATCCGATATTCTAGAAATACACAAATTTTTTCAACAAGAGATGGACGAAATGTTCAGAAACTTTGGATTTCAACAACACAGGTTCTAAATTCTTCCTAATTATGGTTATTTACTTAATCATTTCTAATTATGTTAATTGTTAAGTCACAAAATTGTGAAGATCTAATATGGTTACTTAAAAACATTTCTTTGTAACTTTTGGGAATTTAGCTCATCAAAAAAAACCCACATTTTTTAGTCCGACACGCGAAAACGTTTATAACACTTAATTCTATTTGTCAATTTTTTTTTTGAGAATAAAAAATTATAATTATGATTTTTTCAAAAAAAGCATTAATACCAGTTAAATGGAGGGAATTATATTTTTTAAAATTATTAATTAACGACGACATAAAATGTAAAAATATTCTACAAAAAACTAAAGACGTCATGTTTAGGAACATTTTGAGAAAATAAAAATTAATCTTATCATCGAAAATAAGTAATCTTGTTCAATTATTATTTTGTATTATCTCATAATTCTAGTTTCTCGTTATTCACAAAGATGTTCGCAGATTTTCTAGAATTATCATTGAAAAAACGACATTTAAAGAATTTGAAGAAATCTGTGAATAAATTAAAAGAAAATTAGAAATTCAATATAATAATGAAAACGAAATAATCGATTTTAGCATTGATTTATTGACAAAGGACCTCACTAGTCTCCTGGAGTTTGTAATAACTCTTGTAATAATAGAGATAAATGGTGCTAACTTTGCACCTATATTCTTTTAATCCATAAGGGGCATAAAAAAATTTCAAATTTTTTTTTCTTGATCAGGGGCGTAGAAAGGGGGGTATTTGGCCCAAAACAGGTAATCGAATTTGCGCTCAAACTCAGGATTTACAGATCTTTAAAAAGTGAAATATGTCTCCAATGAATCCTAAAGAAGTTTTCCACAACACTGCATACTCAGTTCAACTACCTTGCATGGCCGGTCACTCCCTTTAAGTTGCAATGAAGTTAAAATTTTCATGGATATCCCCTGAAGAGTTATTTACACATTAATTCAACTTAAAATAATGCCTTTTTTATCACGTTGAGAAGAATCTTTGTATTGTAGACCATACTTGGATGAGAATGAACCCAACCTACCCAGCATTAGAGATTTCTCCGAGAATGAGAACTTGTCGGACAGAGACATGATGTTAAAACAGGACGGTTAGTTGATCTTATTTGAAATAAACTTTTTTTTTCATTTTAATTTTGATCCTGATCCAGCTTTTTTGCTAATTTTTTTTACCAAAAAACAAATTTCCAATTTGAATTTTACGAAACAAGGACTTATTAGAGAAATCGTTTTTACGGGAGAACATGAAAAATGTGAAAATCTTAAACCTATTCAAATCTTTGAATGTTGATGCTCTCCTTAAATTGTCTTCTAATCGTTAGTTTAGTTTTTACAAAACTTCTATTATTTTTCTCTAGATATTTACCACGATAGAAAGAGAGATACTGATTTCGACGAAAAAGATTTATCTTCAAACGATCTAACGGATATCTTCAAGGAAAAGATTGTTATCGCAAAATATTCGATATAAAAAGAGGTCGGATTTTTTGTGTTTAGTATCGTTAGTCCTGAACGCTTGATCTCGATATCCAATGTGAGACCTTTTGAATTTTGCGGATAAATGCTTAATCCCTCAATCCCTAACAGGGTATGACCACCATGGGATATCTTTAAAAAAGATTTTTTACTGCAAGATATTCTATTTAAAAATGTTAAAAGAGGTCGGAACTAGTATCGTTAATCTTGATCGCTTGAACTCGATATCCAATGTGGACACTTTTGAATTTGCGGATGGTATGACCACTTACATCCACGGGGGGATATCGAAGAGAAATTAATTGAATCCGTTGGCCTTTAAAGATGGAGATCAAATGATTGACGTTCTAACTTCTGATCAATTCCAACACACCTAAAAAGTAAATATGTTTCCCAAGAATCTAATGATAACTCTTCTGTTTGCTAGAACCCACCTACACAAGATTCAAGAGAAGGACAAATACTTAAACCTAGGTAGGGCAGTTTTTTAATTGGAAATCAGGACTCCCTGGCATTCATTATAGTTTTTGAATGTGTTGAAATATAAATGATAGACATGTGTATTCTGCAATTACCCATTTAAATGTTTGAAGTGGTCATAAATATAGGTTGAAAATCTTAACATTTATCTCTTTACAACCAAAAATATTTCCCCAAAATCTTAATTTTTATTGAGAGTGATTTTTATTTGAATGTTGTTCTCAGAGACTTCGACGACAGAGCCAACTCTCCTGGATCTTCTTTTCCCGGGTTTGGAGATCCTGAATCTGCTCTGAGAGGGTTCGGTTTTGGTTTCCCAGATTCGAGAGGGTTCGGTTTTGGTTCTCCGGATTCGAGAGGTTTTGATTTTGGTTTTCGGTTTGGTTCTGGTGCCCCGGAGTCAGGGGTACAAACATTCAGCTACAGCCGATCCAGCAAGACCATTCGTCGGCCAGACGGAAGTATTGAGACAGAAGAACGGTCAAGGTAAGCTTACTTTTTGTGGTTGATTTATTGATTGTTTAATAATTATTAACGGATAATCTATATAATAAAACAAGACATTGGTATATATATATATATATGTTGTCCATAGCCGGCCAAACAGCTGGACCGATTGAGCTGAAATTTTTTGTGAACACTCATGGGTGGCCGGGGAGTGTTAACGGCTGAAAAAATTCGAAAATGTTTTTTTCACATTTTTTTCAATTTTTTTTATTCCACGTGCAACGCCGGGCCCTTTCAGCTAGTGATTTATTAAATGATTGGACTATTAATTAAAGGAACCCCGATGGCAGTGAGACAGTAAAAATCACGAGAATTGTTGGAGGAGAAAAAGAAGAAACCATAATCCAGCAGAACCCTGATACTCCTGGTTCGGGTCGGAGTGGCAGGGACGGATTAGTTCAAGATTTCAATATATTCGATGGAATAGACAGGGGCGGAAGAATCGGAGAAAATCCAACCGAACCTTCAATAATCCCTCCTCCTGCGGATAAGAAATATAGCTCTATATTTTCAAAGTTCTTTGGAAATTAGAAATTTTAATTATAAATTCTTTTAAAACCTGGGAATGTTTTTGTTTGCCGCTATTCCCAACAGTGATATATTTATACTTGATAAATAGCTAATCTATGAGCCTAAAATTAGAACTTAAATTTTGATAAATTTCAGACAATATGTTAAACCACGCCTCCTTGAGGGCGGGCCTCCGTACAGTCAAATACTCTGCGAGGGTTCTTAACTCCAGGCTTCATCCTAGAGTATCAAGGTAGATAATGTTTGGTGAATGTTGCATGGTTCTATATTTTAAGTAGTTATTAATAGCAAAAGTTTAAGCTAAATGAAAACTCAAGGGCAGAGATAATACACAAAAAAGATTAACTGGCTGAAAAAAAGTTATTTTAACATTCTTTTCAAAAGTTTTTATGACATTTATTTTACAAACTTATTAGGCAAAATTTTTATCTGTAAGTGACAAAATTTCTATCTGTAAGTGACAAAATTTCTATTTGTAAGTGCCAAAATTCTATCTGTAAGAGAAAAGAAGTGGTTTTATGAAGGCTTAATTTTAAGTGACCATCCATTTAAAGTGTGGCATCTCTGGACATGTCTCTTTTGAGTGGAGGGTTTCCTGAAATTATGTTTTATGTACTTAAAATATACATAAAAAATATTATTGTTTAGTTGTGTAATCCGTGAACAGAGTGCAGCAGTGGCTGGTCAGGAGAAACCTGAACATTTCATGATCAGTTTAGACAACAAGCAGACTCCAGCTCATATCAGAGCAGCCTGGCCTAAACCAGACTTCAATATCAGAGCCTTGAAGGATCTATTGGATCATGACAATATTGAGATGAGAGATAAATTCAGGGAGTTTCTGAAATCCGATCTATTCAAACCCAGATACAACCTTAGCTTGGACGAGGAGAGAGATCTAGCGTTGAAAAGGCTCCAGGCGATCTGTGACAATGGTTTCATCTCCGTCCTTGACTTCAAGAATAATCCGTTGAGAATATTTGCTGCTCACGAGTTGGCTGTGATAGATCCCGCCATGGGAACCAAGATGACTGTTCAGTTCAACCTGTTCGGAGGAACCGTTCTGAAACTAGGAACAGATAGACATCATTACCTTCTCCCTGGTATAGATTCACTAAAGGATGTTGGATGCTTCGGGTTGACTGAGCTAGGTTACGGGAACAATGCTGTGGAGATGGAGACAACTGCTATTTATGACAAGGAGACAGATGAGATTATTGTGAATTCTCCTACTCCCCTTGCACAGAAATACTGGATCACCAACGGAGCTTGTCACGCCAAACACATAGTTGTTTTCGCCCAGCTTATTGTTAACGGAAAGAACGAAGGCATTCACGGAGTTCTAGTTCGTTGTAGAGGAGACAACCTTGAACCTGTTCCCGGAGTACTGGTTGAGGATATGGGATTTAAGATGGGACTGAACGGAGTTGACAATGCTAAGCTTACCTTTAACAATGTCCGGATACCAAGAGTCAATCTGCTAAACAAGTACAGTGATATCACACCAGAGGGAGAATTTGTAACCAAGATAAAGAAAGGAGGTCGGGCCAGGTTTTTGGCAATGGCAGATCAGCTGTTATCTGGAAGGATCTGTATTGCCAGCGGGTGTATTATTGCCAGCAAGGTGTGTCTATCTATTGCCGTGAGGTACGCGGCTACAAGACTAACTGTCGGACCAACTGGTAAATCTGATACTCCTATTCTCTGCTACCAGCTGCAGCAGAGAGCACTCATGCCCCTCCTCGCAACCACCATAGCTCTAACCTTCGGACTCACAAAGGTCAAGAACGTGTGGGCGTATCAGCCAGAGGATGGAAGTGAGCACTTAAACGCTCTGAAGATGTGCTGTGCCATTAAACCCATGTCTAGCTGGCATCTTGGAACTGTTGTAACCACGTCTAGGGAAAGGTGTGGGGGACAAGGATACCTCTCAGCCAGCAGGATTGGAACATACTTTGGTTCAGCTCATGCCGGTCAAACGGCCGAGGGAGATAACAGTGTTCTCATGCAGAAGGTTGCAAAGGAACATCTAGGTTTGTTCAAACCTCACACGGACGCTACTCCTGCTAACTTGGATATTAGTAACGTCGCACATCTTGAATATCTTCTCAAAGCCAGGGAAAATCTTCTCTATACCAACTTGAAGAAGAAGATGGCCAGTGCTTTAATATACACTAAGGTTGGCAAGAAGATGCCGGGTATGTTGAAACCTTTCGGAGATAAACTCCAGGAGAAGGGAATCTTCAATACTTGGATGCTTCAGGAGCAAGATCTAATCCAGTCCTTTGCCAGGTCATATGCTGATAGAATCATCTGTGAAGCATTCAGGGAGACCATAGCTGGAAAGTACGGAGTAGTTGATCCGTCCTTGAATAGTGTTCTGGACGAAGTCTTTTTACTCCACCTGCTCTCTACCATAGAACAGGATCTTCCTACCTTCATGGAGAACGACCTGCTTAATCCCGGACTCGCCAATCAGGTCATTGATCTAAACAGGAAAATTTGCGCGGATCTTGCTCCGAAATCTCTTGCACTCGTTGAATCATTCGGACTTCCAGAGGAGATGCTTCAGTCTCCTATTGCGTCCGACTGGGTTGCGTACAATGCGTATGATAACCAAGGAGAACTGCAGACAAGAGCAGAGTTTGAGAAGGTTCTCAGAGATAACTAAACCCTTTGTAATTCATCTAGTTTATGTTACAAACCATATATTTATTTTATCAACCCTAAAATTTTAGCTGCATGTATACTTATTACATTTAAACAAACACAAATTATGAATATAATATATGATAGAGATGATGTGCATTTCCAGTAATAGTTTTAAATGTATAACGGATGCAAATGTAGACAAATCAATATTTATATTTAAAATAATTTCAGAAATTGAAACGGTTAATATGTCTTTAGCTCGGGGAGGGTCGGGACTACCTCCGACTGGTTCAAGTTCAGGGGTAGGACGGGATTCTATCTCCAGGAAGCATCGGAGAGGATCCAGAGAATCCGTTCTTCCCACCGCTTACAAGGTTCATCTGAACTCCTTGTTCAAGGAGATAGAGAATGAGTTCTCCCACCTGTACCTGGAGAACGTGAGACTGAAGGAGCAGATACAGATGCTGGAGAAGGGGAATATAGACCGGGAGAAGGAGGATGACACGGACGGGTTTGATATCAACGTGATTAAATCTTTCACCAAGAAGAATTTTCCTAAAACTCGTCACAAACTAAAAGCTCAGACCAGCAAGATAGTTTCAAGTTTTAAAACCTCCGCCATATCATGCTCCTTCGTGAAGGAGTACAAGGGGCACAGGGACGGGATCTGGGATGTGTGTGTCTCCAATGTGAACTCTCCACTAGTAGGAACAGCTTCTGCTGATCAGACCGCTGTTATCTGGGGAGCAGATACAGGCAAATGTATCATGAGATATACAGGACATCAGGGTTCTGTCAACAGTATCAAATTTCATCCGGTCCAGGTAAGACGAAAGTTGCAATTTTTTGTTCTTACTATTTTTTAGAAATTCTACTTTTTAGGATCTTGTTTTAACCAGTAGCGGAGACGGTACGGCGCATGTTTGGAAGACGACTGCACTCGGAGAGTCTGCTAGTCATCCTGGGCTTAGGATTCACTCCAGCGAGGAGTCTGCGGAAAGTTCTGACGATGGTGGTGAAAACCCTGGAGAAATTATTCTTAGAGGATATGTCGTCTCAACTCCTCTAGTCGTCCTTTCAGGTAAATAATGTGATAACCTTCAAACATTCTCTAACCTAGCAAATTGTCCTCTTGTATGTATATAGTGTCTTTATTCGAATCGTCCCAACTTTAATACTAATTTGTCCAAGTCGTCCTCCAATGGTTTATTTCGTCAAATTTTACAGTCTTCTTTTTAATAATAAGATAGTCCGACCAGTCATTATATTTTGTCCTTAATTCGTCTTCTATGGTTTTAGAAAAATAGAATTTTAGAATTTTATTGTTCTCAGAAGCGTTTTTAAAGGCTTAAATAATAACGGAACTCTTTTAATGATCAGCTCTTGCGTAGATCAATGAAACATATTTTTGTCTTGTATGTCAGGCAGGTTTGGTCCTATCCAGTTATTCATTTCAGCAACACTTTTGGTATTTCTTATCTTCTCTGAAAATACGTATCTTAGCGCGCCGGGTTTCATAATTTTAAAATTTTTTAAAAAATGTAAAACTTGTCTCATCTAGGACATCAGAATGTCGTTGTTGCAGCAGATTGGTTGGCGGGGGGAGACCAGGTAGATTGATAATCGATTAATGAAAATAAATGCAGTGCTTAGGATTCATTTAATTTTGAGACAGAGTCGAAACTTAGAATATGTGTACTGAAAGAAAATGTTTTTACCTCTGGTTCGGTTTAACTTTTACTTCTTGGATCTAGATCCAGGGAGTTAAACTGTGGCGGATCCGAACCCTTAGCACTGGATTATGTTTTTAACTTAACATTTTTTAAAGTCTATTTTTTCTCTTAAGGTTACCAAGTCCTATCCAGTCTTTTTTTATTCATTCTATATTTGGTTGGAATGTTCTTGCATTTTAAAAAATAAAAATATCTCAACCCTAACAATAGTAAAATTATATTCATATATCCATTATCACATAATCAAAAAAAAATAAAAATTCTATACATTTAGATCAAGCACTATGTTCCTGGAGAATGGATTTTATTAATCTTGTTTGTCCAGGTTGTAACAGCCTCATGGGATAGAACCGCCAACCTCTGGGATGTTGGTAGTCAGACCCTGCTCCATAGCCTAGCAGGTCACGACATGGAGCTGACCGGGGCAGCTTGTCATCCTACACAGAGACTTCTCGTCACCAGCAGCAAGGATTCTACCTTCAGACTTTGGGACTTTAGAGAAAGTATTCATAGTGTTTCAGTATTCCAGGTATACAGTGAACCCCATAAAAGATGGAATATGAACAAAGAGAATAGAATATATATTAGAGGGTAATTCAGAGAATCTCTCGGTATGAATTTTTTCAGTCCCTTTCAGTCTGAAAGGGAGTTCAAAGTGCACAAATCATGTAAATGTTCACAAATTATATGCAAATTCTATTCTCTTTGAATATGAAGTAGAAAAAGGGACAATCTTGAAGTATATTTGAGATTGTTAAGATTAACTTTTGTGTTGAAAATCTCAGGATTAAGAATTGGTCTCCATTTTGCTGAGACCTACGGATTAATTTGATTCCTCTAAGATATCCCGTGGTGGTCACTCCCTAGTCCCTACAAATTAAAAAATATCCACATTGGATATCGGTTTTAAGTGTTCAAGATTAAATTACTCCACACAAAATTTCCGACCTCTGCTATTGTAATTTTTATCATATATTAATACCATGACAGAAGTTTTGGTGGGAGGTTTACGAAGGAGACGAATGGGGGAATTTTTTATCAAAAATTGAAAAATACTGTTAGATTTGAAAATATAATTATTTTAGGGTCATACCGAATCTGTGAGCTGTGCTGCATTCAGTAGATCGGAACATATTGTCTCCGGGTCTGATGATAGAACTGTTAAGGTTTGGGATCTCCGAAATATGAGAGCTCCGCTTACTAATATTCAAACTGATTCTCAGGTAAAAACACTTTTCAAGGTTTCTCTTGACTCTTCATGTTACGATGTAATAAAGAAAGCTTTGATCAACTTTCTTCTCTTTTTTCAGAAACAAATAAAAGTAAAAATTCATGTTTTTAGGTGAATAAGTTGGCAATAAATTCCAGTGGAATGATTGCCATTCCCCAAGATAATAGGAACGTGACGATCTTCGATATTTCGGGAGCTAAACTTCTCCGGCTCCCTCGGGACTCTAGAAAGTGTCATATGAGGATGGTGAGTAGCGTAGCCTGGGCCCAGGACGGAGAAGGATGGCGGAGTCAAGCAAACCTGTTCAGTGCAGGGTTTGACAGGTTGGCTCTGGGTTGGAAGGTGAAGAGTAAGGATGAACCTAGCTCCGGGTCTGCAGGAAAGGTGAAGGTGAAGGAAGCAAGCTACTGACCTCACGCCAGGAAGTCAATCTTCCTGTAAATAGTACTCACTACTCACTATACAATTTATACACAATATCTTCCATAGGTTCAGTAAATATTTAGCATTCCTTTATAAATAATTATATTTGTGTTAATGTATTATAGGTGGAATTTTAACGTTTAACAAGGAACCTGCTGAGGTTTCCGGAAAATATCATCTTCCGATAAATTCAGAAAATAAACATCCGCAATTTTACTGAAATTCAAACTCTGTTCTCCAAACTTTAATTTCGAACTCGTGTCTGGAAATTCTTCTTCTTCATGACTCATGTTCTTCCAATTCTTCCAATATTTTAAAGGAAATGTTACTGTTTTTTAAGAGGATCACCATTTTACAACGCTACCCTATAATCCCTAATCACAAGAGAAATTATGTGGACATTTTAGTTTTTTCTGTTTAAAATAAATAATTGAAAACCTAGTGGGAATTTGTCCCAAGATTAGTAATAATTCAGTTAACAGTGGAACTAGTAAAATTACTTACATTTGTTAAACAAAGGATTAAAGGGTATTGTGTTAAATCATGGGAAGGTCCAAACTATGCTGAACGGTTTGCTTTGAAAAAGGTCTATCTATCTTTTTCTTATATCCAGCGTATTCCAATTTTATTTACCTCTCTACATTTATTCTCCCAGATGATAAATCAATAGTATTCGTTAACTTTAGTCGTACTTAATTGTAACCTGGAAATGTTTGGATGTTTGTTAGTAAACTCCCTAGGTTGTATTACTCAAAAATGGATTTATTGACTGGACGGAATGAATATTATTAACAAGTATTTCTTTGAAAGCATATCCTTCACCAATCTGGATAATTCTTTAAAATTTTAGCTTCCTTTTGTATTTTTTCAAGTCAATTTAACTGTGATAAGTTATTTTAGAAATAAAGAGTATATTTGTAAAACAAAATGTAATCTATTTTAAATTTTTTGAATCCATTTAAAAAACAATTTTTGATCTAATTTATTGCATTTCTTCTAGATATTGCATTTAATTATGCTTTTCTCGTGTATGTTTCATTTATTTGTTGGATTAAAATAAAATTTCTTATTTTCATGGAAATCAATTTAAAAAACAACATTTTTCTCTGCAAGTTGAAGTACACTAATTCTTGATAACAGCAACCTCAGAGGATTTTCTTATTAATGTTTTATTATTCTCCACTATTCACAAAAACTAAGATTATCTTTATTGTATTTTTAACTTCGGGTTTTACGTTTATATTATTTATTGCATATTTTAAATTGGGTTTTTAATTATATTTATGATATTCCTTGTGAAGAAAACCCCTGGGTTTCATACTGTGACAGTTTTCAGAGTAGGATGTCTGTGTTGGGGTTGGATGAGGCGGGACGGTTTCTCTTCGGAGATACAACAGTTATTCCGGGCTGGTTACAGAACACACTCTCATCAGTATCCTCGCAGGGAAACAGATATATTGGAAGTCCTTGTTACAAGGAGGGTTAGTACTAGGGAGAGGGGGAGAAGGGTTTGTTTATTGTCTACTGTGACGTATTAGGAAAGAAACTAGTTTAATCGTAAACAAATAACATTTATCCTCCCGCCCCGTTTAGGAGTACTAAGCCTTGTTTACAATAAAACTATTCTCTTTGAAT